TGTTCTGGTATTACTGTGGTTGGTAGTTTCTTTACATAATTTTGTTCTGGTATTACTGTGGTTGGTAGTTTCTTTACATAATTTTGTTCTGGTATTACTGTGGTTAGTAGTTTCTTTACATAATTTTGTTCTGGTATGGCTGTTCTTAATCAATAAATTGCTACTACATAATGTCAGCAACACAATAAATTACATACTTATTTTAATAAGAGGAAATATCAAATTGGATAAAAGAAATTGGCTGAAAACAAGAAAGAACAGCTTTTGTTTAATTTTTATAACTGAATTTGGATATGTTAATCTATAGTACCTGTCCCTACAAAAATACCTACCTTAGTTGTTTGGATGAATGTGAAAAGAGACTGGAGCAGTAAAACTTAAAAACTAATGAAGTTTACTGAAAGGGAAACATACATTTTTGATAAGTAATCAGAGTAAAATAGGTCCTTACAAAAGTTATTTTCACAAGATTTCATCAGTAGGTCTTAATATTGTTATACTTTAACTCAAAATAATAACAATCAGACAAGCAACAACTTTGAATAACTTTTTAATTATGGTTTGACCAAATCAAATGATTTTTTCAAAGCCAAACATGACAGTGACAGTCTAAAATTTAGTAACATTGTGTGTGTGTGTGTATATATATATATAGGCTAGATATAACTACTGTAAATGTTAGTCTCTATATATTGTTTATACATATATATATATAAACAGTATATAGAGACTAACATTTACAGTAGTTATATCTAGCCTACATATATATGTATAAACAATATATAGAGACTAACATTTACAGTAGTTATATCTAGCCTACATATATATGTATAAACAATATATAGAGACTAACATTTACAGTAGTTATATCTAGCCTACATATATATATATATACACAGCTGTCTGCAGGCAGTGAAGGATGATATAGATGTTAGATGTTGTGGGCTTGAACACAGATGTCTCCTCTCCTAATTTATATTTCTTTTCATGATTCCTTCATGTGAGACTGGCAAACAGAAGTTAAAACTATAGATGGTGTATCCCCACTTCAATGTGAGTCTTACTTTCGCAGTCACCTACTAAACCCACAGCACATTTTATACCCCACAGTATAGCCTGTATCCTGAGAATCCTTGTCATTTAAGCAGTGTCTTTGATTTGATTTTTCTTTGAGCTTGTTTTTGTTCATTTAAATATAATTTATCACATGTTTAGATTTGCTATTTTTAACACAGTGCTTCCTTTTGATTTTGTTTTGCTTGATTGTTTAATTATTAATTTTCTTTACACACACACACACACAAATATATATATATATAAATTAAAACCTACACTAAACAAAATGGGAAAAAAAACTTTAGCCAAAGAAAAAAGGCTAATGATAAATAGATGGTTTAATGTTTACAACATTTCAGTCTGGAACACTCTCCTCTAGTGATTTTGGTGGAACAGAAAGTTTGACACCACAAAGGGTTTGTGATATTAAACATTCTGTTCCATAGAAGTTTAAAATTACCATAGAAAGAGCTTCCAAGCCCAAAGTATTGTCAACATTAAAACACCTATTTATCATTTACCACTTTTTTTAGGTACAAGGACTTAATTGTACCACAGTAGTCTTTATCTGACTTTTTCATATTAAAATTTACAGTAGTTATAAATGTAACTGCTAAATATTCTGAAAATTTTACCATAAATAATGCTGCTATTGTATGTAAATTATAATATTCAATGCAGGTACATCATTGCCAGAACTACAATCACTGAGATAAACAGTGTTTTTTCATTGATATGATGTTTACTTTCCACCGACTCATAAAAACACAGTTTTTACAATCATTAAGCCTACTTTCTACTAGCTTATAAAGATAGTTTTCGATAATTGTTAAGCCTACTTTCCACTGTCAAATGCAGTGTTTTCAACAATATGACATGACACATTACCAGTGAAACAATTTTAAAAACTAATGTTGGTTTTCAAGGATGTTACTAATCGTCTCACATAAAAAAAATTAACGAGAAAAAAGAGAAGCAAAAAGATTAAGTGTTTTTATAAAACGTTGGGTGTTAGATATAATCAACTTACATGAAAATACTTTTTGTATTACAGCCACCATGACAGATACTGCAGGTGAAACATCCAATGACAATGAAAGAACGAGTAAATACTCATCTCTCATGCAGTCCAATCAAAATCCATGAATACATACAAATACATCTTATAGGTTGAAAAATAAACACTGAAACTCAAACAATTTAAGAAATAGTATGCATGTTTGGTTACATCAAACACACAATTTTATTAGAGAGATAAGAAAAGATAAGTTTACAAGTACATACCTGAGACAATATGGTGTACAGAGTTGCTCCCGTACCTCTTGACAACACCGGGAACTCAGTAGTATCCACAATATCTCTGTACAGTGGACTTGACATCTGTCATGACATTAAGACTTATTCTTTACATTGAATGTTATGATTAAAACAAAAGTGGCAAAAATAACCCACTTACAACTGAATATAAATACATAGCATTAATACATTTTAAAACTTTAGAGTATTTTCATAAAACTACAAAAAATTAAATAAATACAACGAACTTACTAGCTTTGATTTACAATAATTGATTATAAAAAACCTAGGCTATTTTTCTGTTAACAAGTAAAGTTTACATAACACATCTTAGATGTCCAGATACACAGCTCTATATAATTCCTTCTATCTTAGCTAGCCATATACATAACTTCATATGACTCCTTGCTATCTTAGATGGCAAGATATTTAACTCCACATAACTTTTTGCTATCTTTGCTGACAATATATGTAGTCCCATATGACTACCTGCAACCTTAGATACCCAGATATATTTTATTTTATTACCTAACATGGAGAAGGTGTTGTTGGGTTAACTTAACTACAAAATTAGTTTTTAACTATGTCAAAATCAGTAACACACAAAAAGGCACACCAATTTATTCCAGGAGTAAGGAATATAAGTAGGAGAAAGATCACACACAAGAAGAACTGAATGCTGGTTAAATTTTATTTATCTTAATACAACCTCACACTAACCTCTGAGATGTAATTTTCATACTCAAAGCTACACAGATTTCGTGTACAGCTTGTTGTGCAATGATTTTTTGACAAACAATGTCTGAAAATAGAAAGTAAAGAAGAGATTTCATTGTTTTGATAAGTCATAACTAAACTCATATTCTGCAAAAAACAGAAACAACAAATCATAAAACAAAGTATTATAGACATAACTACACTATATCAATTTTGGTAAACATAGCTAACACAAGTAGGGTGAAGGGGGATATCAATGTTCCCAAGTACTCAGCTAGTAAACACTTGGTGAACTTTTCTGTAAAAACTAAATTCCTACCACATTTAAAGTTAAAAAATAATGGACGGAGAGAAATATTGTGTTGGATATATAAGACTGTTTAGTGTAAGAGTTATTATTTAGTTCATCTAGTGATTTAATGATTACTTAGTTTTCATGACAAGTGTTAAAAGTAATTATTTTAAAAACAAAAGTCATGACAAATTTCATTATGTAACTTGGTAAGAGTCATATGTTGTGTGTGTGTGTAGTTCAACTGTTGTAGTATTAAAATCATAAATAATATTCAATGTTAAACTGGTACACAATTAAAAACATTTTTTAGGCCTATCTATGGCCTTCAAAAAATTGATGACTCTACATGTTTCGATGTTACAACGTCATCCTCAGGAGTGAATTACAAGACAATTGACAAAGTATTTATAACTTGTTAGTAGGTCATTAACCTGTATGTATTTTACATACACTCACGCTAAGCCATTCTAAGGATATCAATCCACATTCTTGCAGAAATATTCGCCATACCTTCATCTCTATTTAATACTACATGATCTTTTTTATGTTTTATTATTTCTAAGATTCACAAATATTATTACCTATTATACTTTTTGGTTGAGCTAATATTACAGTTTTTTCCCATAATATTGTGTGTTGTGTTTCCTGTACATGTTCTACTATGGATGAATTTTCAGTTTTCTTATTTTTTACATATCCCTTATGCTCATTTAAACGGTATTTTAAATTACGTTTGTAACGTCGAAACATGTAGAGTCGTCAACTTTTTGAAGGCCTAAATAAAATGTTTTTAATTGTGTACCAGTTTAACATTGAATATTATTTATGATTTGAACTTTATACAGAAGTGCCAAAATACTATAATTGTTGTAGTATTGTTGATGTCATTTTTCTCAAAACCTCTAATTTTTTCTCACTGTGTGAGTATTGTTACATCATAGCATCTTGTAGTTTGTATAAAGTTCGAGGCCTCAGTTGGACAAGGTATATATACGTAGGTGACCAAGCGAGCAGAAGTAAGTTAAGTGAGAAATAATAGACAGATCTAGATTGAGTGATTGGCAATTTAGCCATGACATGCGATTTATAAAATGCAGTTAAAAAAAGTTAGTGAAAGAAAACATGAAGTTAGCAGGTGAGTGAGTGATTAGCCTGAACAGGTGATATTTTAAAATGTGTTTCACAGTTTAATACAGATAAAAAGAATAATGTGTCTTGTCAAAAGTTGTTCTAATGTAATGTAATTGAACCCATCTGTGTGGACTTTAAAAATTATTTAAAGTTCTGAATACAACTAGGTAATGTAATACACAAGGTAATGTAAGTGAATTATTCACTGATAAAAGTAAGGAAAAATAATTTGTCTTGTCATTTGGATTCTGAAGTAAATGAACCAGCTTGTGAAGACTTTTGACAAGAAAAGAGTATTATTTAGAGTTTTACATACATCTGTGATACCCTCTAGTGTAAAGATTTTTTTCACATATGTTCGACTTGTTTTGAATATATTATTTTAAAACAAGTGGATTGTGTGCTGTCCATTTATTGTTCAAATTTATTGCCAACCAGGGCTTACAAGAGGGGGGGCTGCTGCCCAGGGTCTGTTGAGGGGCCTGGCAATGGGATATTCCAAAGCTCACTAGAAATGCATACTACTTAATGAGCTTAATGAAAAATTTGTCACCTAAATTTCTTTTATGAAAAATCAGCAAAAGTTAATAAATAGAATGAAAGGGGGGCCCAATGATATTACTGACCCCGGGGCCTGGACTGGCACTCGACATCCCTGTCGCCAACAAGTCATAGACACTCTTATTTAAAATTCTGACACATGGAAACTAATGGTGCACAACTACTAATGTAATTTAATTTGTGTAAACATATTTGTGACGATTTTGTATGTAAACTTACCTGATGCCAAACACTGTTCTAAAATAATAGCCTGGTCTATAAATGCACTTTCACCCTGATGTAGAAGAGACTGGAACAAAAACAAAACTGAATCAATTCATTCATTTTACTTTCTCTACATAATCATCACATGAATGAATACATATGTATCTGTGGAAGTTATTTTGATACAGATATAACCAGAATGTGATATTTCACTGAAAAAAAAATATATAGATAGATATTTGGAAGATTACATCTTCTACAGTGAAACTACATAGTTGTCAAAGTAAATTTGAGATTTACTTTAGAAAAAGGTGAATTATGTTTTGGTGAAAAATAAAATTATTGATACATATCAACTAAACTCATTACTGTAAATCATACTGAAGTTTACTTTCTCCCCTCTTTGAGCTCAAGAAAAAAGAACTTAGGTGAATGAATCCTTTCCAACGCCATCTAATACCTACCATTCCTTTATGACTAGTTATTCAAGTACTACTGTACATCACTGAGACTTTAGAAAGAGTACTATATCTTCTCAAAGTTTGTTAACATTAATGAAAGTTATGTTTAATTTTTTCCTGTTTAATTTGCTAAATTTATAAAAATAGCATGTTTTTCTATATCTGGGATTAGCTGTTGCCCTCCTAACTCTTCTTTTTTCAAGAGAAAACAATTTGAGAGATTTCAGCCTCACCTCTTATGCAACCCCTCCATCCCAGGCACCATTCTAGTAATCCTTCTCTGAACCCTTTCCAACAATTGAATGTCCCTCCTAAGGTAAGAAGCTCAAGACTGAACACAATATTCCAAATGTGGCCTAACCAGTGACCTATACATTGAAATTATAACCTTTTTAGCCTTGTATTCAATATTTCTGTAGATACAGCCTAAAATCATATGTGCCCTACCACTAACAATAGCACATTGCTTGGATGGCTTTAGAGACTGATCGACTATTACACCAATATCCCTTTTCTTCATAATAACACTGTTAAGGTTATTCCCATCCAAATTATATTTATAATTCAAATTATGATAACCCACATGTATTATCTTGCATTTATTATAATTAAAACCCATCTGCCATTTATTCCCCAATTCACTAAATGATCTAAATCCTTTCATAAAACAGCAGCATCCTCTTCACAGCTAGCGACACCCAAGACCTTAATATCATCTGCAAATTTAAGTAATTTATTGATTATTCCTTCATCTATGTCAATTGAAATAAGCAAAGGTCCTAAAACTGAGCCCTAAGGTACCCACTTCTGCCATTAATCCAGCTTGACTGAACAACATTTGTAACAACCCTCTGCTTTCTTTGATCCAGCCACTCTTCTATCTAATTTGCTAACTTATTCCCCACACCTATAATTATCTACTGTTTGGTTTGTTCTGATCTCAGTCTTAGTAATAGTAACCAATTATTAGGTTCTAATGGTAATAGTAAACAATTATTAGGTTCTAATGGTAATAGTAAACAATTATTAGGTTCTATTAGTAATAGTAAACAATGAATATAAATTTCAAAGTGATAACTAACAAGCAAATTAAGCTTGAAGATAATTATTGGACTTGACAATCTTATGAACTGTTTTTGTGTTTTTTCTTCAAGAGACGGTTTCTACCAGCATAACATAACATTACGTTTTGAGACAACATCGGACCTATTGGTCCATCTCGGCTGTTTCATTCTATAAATTAAATTGAAATAATTAAAAAAAAATATTAACGTCAGTCCTTATCATTCAAATACTTATCAAGCTTTTTCTTAAACTCGCTTAAACTTACTGCCTTCACAATATCCGAAGGCAACCCATTCCAAAGGCCAACCACTCTGTTAGATAAATAAAATTGTCTTTGTGTCCCCTAGTACTACTATTCTCACTGTTAACTATGAAGAAAAAAAAAGATGATGCATCAACACTATCAGTTCCCTTTACAATCTTAAACACCTCAATCAGATTTAGAACCTAATAATTGTTTACTATTACCATTAGAACCTAATAATTGTTTACTATTACCATTAGAACCTAATAATTGTTTACTATTACCATTAGAACCTAATAATTGTTTACTATTACCATAGAACCTAATAATTGTTTACTATTACCACTAGAACATAATAATTGTTTACTATTACCATTAGAACCTAATAATTGTTTACTATTACCATAGAACATAATAATTGTTTACTATTACCATTAGAACCTAATCATTGTTTACTATTACCATAGA